GGGGTGGGGGCTGATTCGGCGTGTTTTGCATGACTCACAACCTTGGTACAGTGTCCACAGGCCTGCCTGTCTGCAGCAGGCTACTTGAGAAGTTTTCTATAAACAAAGTTTTTACTCCATGTGTGCCATCTTCTAGTTTCTAACTCCAATTAGTTTTAGGTTGGTCTTCTTAGTGTCATCTAGTAGCTGTCAGATGAACTTTCTTGTTCTCTTAATGGTTTTTAAGTCTTCTCTGAGCTATTTATCATAATTTACCATTTTTTCTTCCATTTCAGAAACCCTGACTTCACATTGGTCATTTCTGCAATTTATGAATTCCATACAATTTTTTATACCTAGTATTTCTGTCCAATACCTTTTCATGGAGTTTATATCTTTGGTAAATTTGTCATTCATGTTTTTAACCATTTTGGTCAGCTCTTCCAATTTTTTATTTGTTTCTCCTATATCCACATTGGTCATTTTATATGACAATTTCATGAACTTTTGGGTCATATCCTCTGAACTTCACAAGTTTCTTTACATCTTCTTTAACCAATTTGTAAAGCTCCTCTACTTAGTCTTTGTTTTCCTCTCCACTGGTTTCCTCTAGATCTGCCCTTGGGAGAGTGGGGAGATCTTGAGGGCCTTTTGTTGCCTCGTTTTCCCTGTGTATGTATGTGTATATATATGTAACTTTCTGTGTGTGCACATCTGAAGACTGAGGTCAGGTAGAGTGAGGAGAGATTGTAGTTCATGTGAAGAAAATCCTTTCCTTTCAATGATATATTTGTGACTTTATTTGTCCAGAGATATTGTTCACTCCTTCTGCTATTTAAATGGTTTGGACTCTGTCACTGTGTTGTGAGGAGAGAATTACTATCGGTAACAGTGTCATCAGATCTGATCATACATCACTTGTATGAGTTACACTTTGTATTTACACTTTCACCTGTTATCAGTTACCTTTACAGCCTACACTGTTTGTTATTAGCAGTTAATCTGCAATGTGGGAGGAGAGGGGAAGGGAAGAGAGAGAGGGACCGGTGAAAGAGGTGTAAGTCAGTAGGCAGAGAGATAGGAGAAATAATAATAAGTAAAAAACATGAGATCAGGGGTCAGGCCCTGTTAAGGTCTTTTATAGTTGGAGTGATGGGTTAATGTTGAGGGTTTTAAGAAGACATTTGTGGGGGGCAGGGCTGGGATGTAGGAAGAGGGAAATGTAATTTGCTGTTAAGGAAAGCTTCGAGGTTATCAGAACCTGTGGATTTGTTTGTGCATGTAAAAGGTGGAGAAGAGACAAGGGAAGACAGGGTCTAGGTTAGATCAGGAAGAACAAAAAGAAAATAGGACAGGAGGTTAACATGAGAGAAGATGGGAATGTCTGAGGGTGAGCAGAATATAAGGAAGAACTTCTTAAAAGAATTTTTAAAATGGGAGAAACAAGTAAAAATAGGAAAATGGTGTTGCTACAGATGCTAGAGTTCAAGTAAATCAAAGAAAAAAATAAAATGAAATGAAAGAAAATCTAGCAGGGACCTGGATCCAGCACTCTGACAAGAGAACATACATGCAAATTTGTCGTGCCTGCCATGCCACGGAGCCTGGGTGTCCACACAGTTCCTTTCTGGCCTTAGTTACAGTCACGTTGCAGGTGGCCACATAAGGACGTGGGCATGCACACAGGGTGGACTCTGTGGGCAGGCGGGAGGGGGTTGCTGGGCACAGGGTAGGGGTGCTTTCCTTGTCTGCAGTGAGTGCTGGAATGAAGCTTTCCTCAGTGTTGGGAGCTGGGGCAGGGGTGGGAGAGGCTGGTCTGTCCCAGGAGTCTGGCCTCTGCTGGGCTACTTGGGTCCTGAAGTCTGTTTGCTACACTTTCATATGGCAGCTGCTCCTCAGAGGAGCGAGGGGTGGGGGTGGTGGACCAGCCATGGCAGCACTGCGTCCCCTTTTCAACTATCCAAATGTTTGCTGTGACCTACATATATCGTCTTTCCTATTAATTTTCTGTTTCAAGATGTCATCCCCTCCCCACTCAGAATACCTTCATTATCAGGAAATCTTCACTGAGCATCTCCAATGTGACTCTGCTTCTAGTCTGTCATGTTAGATCAAGTCTCATTTATCTTTGAGTGGTTGTTTTCCACTAGATTGTGAGTTCCACCACGACTGGAGCCACTGTCCCCAGGGCTCCACAGGGATCTCATTGCCAAGCAGACAGTATTTGCTGAATGAACAAAATCAGTGAATGAAGGACAGATGAGTTTAAAATGACTGAAACAACCCTCTTCATCCTGTTTCACTGTCACCTGAGTGAAAGAAGGTGGCCACACCCACAGGTCTGTGCCCCTGAGAGTCTGCGCACAGCTGCCTGAGGGCTGGGAACAGGGTGGAGGGAGCTGATGGGGTCCCCCCTCCCAGGCCTCCTCTCCATGGCCAACTCTGGCCTGAACACCAACGGCTCCCAGTTCTTCCTGACCTGTGACAAGACAGAGTGGCTGGATGGCAAGCACGTGGTGTTTGGGGAGGTCACCGAAGGCCTGGATGTCCTGTGGCAGATCGAGGTGAGTGGCGGGCACAGGCCCCTCCCCGGCCCTTGGTGAGCAGTCCTGTGGGAGGGTGGGGGCCGCTTCTGCCTGGTGGAAGGCGCAGGCGGGTGGGTTTCCCCAACCTCTTTAGTCTCTTCCCCTCACGCCCCTGACCCCGCCTCCTCCTCTGTTCCTCCCACAAAGGCCCAGGGCAGCAAGGACGGGAAGCCAAAGCAGAAGGTGATCATCTCCGACTGTGGGGAGTACATGTGAGGCGCCACCCCGCTCCCTCTCTGCTCCTGCCTGTGTGTCTGGGCTGGCACGGAGGGTGTCCTGTGTGAAGCAGACGGCACAGGGTCTCAGTTCCTCCTTGGGGCCAGCTCGGAGCAGCTCCTCCGCAGCGCGGCCTGGACTTGCTCTGGGTTCCTACAGGTGCGCTGTGGGCCTGGGAGCCAGCGCAGGTGCCGCCCTCCCCACCGTGGACAGCTGATTGTCCCCTGGCTTTCCCAGCGTGCGGTGCCAGGACCTGCCCTGGCCCATCTGAGGATCCTGGACACTTTCTCTGCTAAAATAAATCCTGATTCTTATATTGCTGCCTCCAGCCAGGCCCCACCTATTGAGGCCAGCAGGGGTCAGCATTTTCCCTCTGTCTGTCCTGAGGCTGAGCCTCTGGGGAGACACAGAGGCCCAGCACGGGCATAGAAGTGACAGCCGGGCAGACTGCCTGTCTTCTTTCCTGCTGGGTTAGCCCGGTTCCCTTCTGCTCCTACACAGCCACTCATGCGTCTAGTAGGTGCCTGTAATCAGTCCACTCATTTCACCGCAGAGCTACAGTTGGAATCAGACTCCCGAAGAATGTCAGCACCTGTTCTTTGCCAGGCACTGTGCTTGGTGCTGGGGAGGCATAAAAATCAAGACAGAGCCTCCAGCTGGCATCTTGCCTGGAGTTGGAGTCTGGTACCCTGTACCATTGGTGGCCTGACCTTGCCACCTCGCTGCATCTCTCACTGGCTGAAGCTGAGCCCTGCCAGTCACCAGAAACTCCCCACCTTGGGGTTGCTGCCTGCCCCAGGCTCCCTCCCAGGAGCTCCTGAATCAGGGATCTGCTGGGCAGGGCTGGTTCTCATTTTGAGTTGAGATCTGAATACACCTGGAGAGGAGGGAAGAAGCCTGCTGCCCCCAGCCCCAGTGTCCCCGGGCCAGCTCTGCCTCTCTGCCTGGCTGTGGGGCTTCTGCCCTCACTGGCCCTGGGCTGGCTCCCTTGGCTGGGATCAGGCAGGGACCTCTCGCCTTAACACAAATGTTCTGCTCACTGCTGATCAATCACAGTGCTTAGGACCAGGACAGTGAGGCCAGGGTAATACCAGCTTTTCAAGGCTGTTGTGATATCCATGAAGAAGATGGTGTGATGTCCTCTGCATGGCTGACTCCAGGGTGATGTGTGGGGACATGGAGCAGACTGGCTTGAGGTCCTAGGAGGAAGGACTGTTCACACAATCCTGTGGAACAAGGGCTACAACTGGGGTACAAGGAGGACCATGTCACTGAGGTTTGGCCAGGGAGGCAGTGGTGCCTCCCATTAGAGGCTTCCCCAGAAGTTACCCACTGGGTCCACTTGTGGCCTTATACTCTGAGGTCACCTGGACCTCCAAGGTAAGGTGTCTGTCTCCACCCTATCACCCAGCTCCCTTTGCACAGTCCTGCCCCTGCTCGTGCCAGGTGTGGTACAGAGGAAGAGAGAGAGCTCCTGGCCCCTGGACTGGGTTAATGGCCACCTTGTGACCATGTCACCTGACCCAGGCTGCCTGCCACCATGAGGAGGGAGAAGGGCAGGATTGAAGGCATAGACTGCTACTAAAATCTGTGCTTTTAAAGAATATTTAATAACAGAAAATTTCCTAATATATCAAATTGTATAAATCAGATCCTAAGCAGGCATAGAGTATGACCCTAACTGTGAAAGATAGCCAGATATCATGTACAGACAGGTGTGTGTGTGTGTGTGTGTGTGTGTGTGTGTGTGTGTGTGTGTGTACCAAGAACAAAGGCTAGGAGGGCTTGTTAACACTGGTTACCATGTGTTGGGATTCTGGGGTGCTGTAATTTTTTCCCCTGAAATTTTCCCTAGCACACATGTAATGTTTTCTTGTGAGGAAAAATATTTTTAAAGAAGTGAGTATCGGGGACAAGGCAGGAGGCTCAAATGCCTGCTCGTGACTTTCCTGAAAGAAACCTTTGACAGAAAGTCTCCCTCAGCTTCCTGTACAGAGACAGTGGGCGCTGCTGTTACTAGCAGCGAAGGACCACGCCTGAGGGCCACCCCTGCCACTTCCTCAGCAGCGGCCCCAGTGCCCACACCATGGTCTGCCTCCATCCCCAGGCAGGCAGGAGTGCAGAGCCGCACCTCATCCCAAGGGAGTGAAGTTTGAAGAGAAGCATAGCAGGCACAAGGTGAGGAGGTGAGCAGCAGCCCGGGCACATCCTGGGAGGAGGGCCGTTCCTAGGAAGGCAGGCGGCCCAAACCTATGGGCACCTCTGACTCAAGGGAGGCCTCACAAGGGCAGGGTGGGTGCCAGCACCCCTTCATGAGGCAAGGGCGGGCTCAGGGCTGTGGCTAAGGTCTCCTGTCCACAGCTGCCTTTCCTGAAAATCATAGGGACGGTCTCTAAGGCACATTGCCCACATCCCTGCATAAAGACAAAAAGTAGGACTTTGCAAGCTAAGCTGGACATCACAGGGAAGATATCCACGGGGTTTGCCCCATACCCAGAGCCACCTCTGTACTCCACCTCCCCACAGTGTTTACTTACTGCTCCCAAGGCACTGGGGTGACCACCCGTAGTTTTCTTGTAATGTGAAGTCGAGAGAGTGTAACCCAGGCAGCCAGATGCAACCAAAGAACCAAGTAGCCTTGGTAACAACACTGACACCTCACAGGTTGTGTCCACAGCCACCTCTCTTCTTCAAGACCTTGTCTACTAGGTGCTATTTGGTGGCTGCCTGCATAGCTCATGTGTGAGGAGTGTGGCTATCAGGAAAGCCATGGCCACTGCACTTGTAGCGTCCTGAGGAAAAAGGAACCACATCCCAATCCTCATGTTCCTGCTCTGCACACCTCCCAGTAGGCACGACAGAGGTCAAACCATTCATTTCACGCACTTTCCTGGTGCCTCCAGAACGTACCAGGCTATTTGCTGGGCACTGAAGAGATCAATTCCTGGCACTTGTCTCATGGCTCCCAAGTCTCTGCTGCCTGACACTGGGAGGAAGGAGCCATTGGACAAGTTCTTAAGTCCCATCCTGGGGTGTTAGGCTGTGGGACAGGAGAGGGTCAGGATGACAGAAGGGCCTTTGGAATGACAGAATCCTGCCAGTTTGGAGTGGGATGTCCCCCAACAGGCAAGGTGTTAAAAGCCACAGTGCCCAGCTTGGCATTATTGGAAAGTGATAGAAACTTTGAGGTGGGGCCTAGCAGGAGGTCTTCTGGTCACTGGAGGTGCTTGGAAGAGGACAGGAGGATCCAGGTCCCTCCTCTCTCTCTAGCTTCCCAGAGGTGAATAGCTTTGCTTGGCATCTTACTCCCACCATGATGCACTGCCTCACCACAACCCTCAAAGCAATGGACCCAACAAACCATGGACTGAAACCTGGAGAGGGTGAGCTAAAATAAATCTTTCCTCCTTTTTATTATTGATTATCTCAAGGTTTGAATAGTTGATTTTTTGTGTGTGTGTGTGTGGTACTGGGGATTGAACCCAGGGCCTTAGGCATGCAACACAGGCTTGATTGTCTCAGGTATTTTGTTACAGTAACAAAAAGCCAACTATCACAAGTCCTGTGGGCTCATGTCAAAGATGGGAGACTGAAGTTTGGAGAAGAAGGGGGACTTGTTCAAACACTAAGTCTCTTGACATTCAGGCTTGTGTCCTGTCTATTCCCTGCCAATCCCTGAAGCCCTCGGTTCATGGGGAACTCACTATCTTGCAGACCACCTGGGCCCACCTTTGCATACGTGGGACGGTGCCTTCATCTGCACTCACACAGGGAGGCCCTCTCTGGTCCCGATGGAGGGGGTGCTATCCCGCAGCATGGCCCCAGCCTCTCCCCTACAGCCACACCTGCCTTCCCCAAGACCCGTCCTCAGGGGCACAGAGTGTGAACCCCAGAGATGTGTATCCCAGGGCTCACAGGTGGGTCCACTGGGGCTGGGTGTGGACAGGGGTGGGCCCAGGACCTGCTCTTAATAACACAGTGCAGGCAGCTGGACTCCGTATGTTCCAGTAGGTAAATTACAGGCTTAGCCAGTCCAAAATCAAATAAACACTCCAACTCCCAGAGGTCGCTCCAAGGAGAACAGCAGTTTCCCAGAACTATGAGGCTGAGACAAAGCTCCCCATCCAACCCAGCCAATTATCACCTGTCACTCCCTTGGGACAGGGGCCTTTTCTTTGACTCACAGGTGCAAGAAACAGGACATCCCAGGGTGACACAGACTTTGGTGACCAGCCTGTTCTTGATTCCTAGATGTAAGCAAACACTGACATTCCTCACCCTTGGCCCACACCTGGCCAGAGGCTGCCTAGTCACCATGCCCTGGGTGGAATAGATTGCTCCTCGCCTGGTGGTAGCCAACTGCAATCTGTGCTGAGGGTGTGGATGCCTTGTCCAGATGTGAAGAAGTCCCAGGTAGATCACTGATGTTGGCCACGGGCAAAGGCAGGCAGTTGGTGGCACCTGCTGTATGCCAGCCTGGGCCACCCCTGGAGCCACTGTCCTTGCTTCTCCCTAGAGGTAACCGTCTCAGTGCTCATCCCCAAGTGGGTCAGTTCGGTAAAGACCCCAAGGTTCTTTGCTTCTCTGGTAGTCATGCTCTTCCCCAGGCAGAAGGGCAAAGCAGAGGAAGACACATGCTCTCAAGGACCCCCAAGCTTCACCTTCAGTCATGGGGCCCAGCCAGCTTCTTTTGCTGATAAGCCAACTGTGCCCATGGGCCAAGTTAGAGAAATCTAAAAACACTGTAGTGAGGCCACGAGCAGGGCTAACTATGCCCTGGAAGTGTCCATGTGCTGCACCTGGGAAGGAGCAGAGCCATCCACACTCAGACCCTGTGGGCATGGGGCCCAAGTCAGTCCACCTAGGGCTCTAGCAGCTCTCAGACCTCCCAGGGTTGGCCATAGTCTGGGCCAGGAAGGCACAGGAGGGCCTAAGATAGGACTTCAGTGTGGACTTCAGACAGTGCAGTTGGCACAGCTGTGACCTGCTGTGTGCATTTGGTCCCAGGTGGTTGGGGGACAGCTAGCCACAACCCCACAAGGAGCAGAAAGACAGACCTGGAAAGGACCAGAAGCCTGGCAGGAAGTGAACAGGAAGTGAGTGTCCCACTACTCATGTCTGAGCTGTGACAGCATCTCAGGGTTGAGGGTTTCCTGCCTCTGCAGAGGGTCCTGATCCAGGGAGGAATGGCTGCAGGAGAGCATGTGGGCAGGGCCTCAGTGGCAGCCACAGGCCTTGACCACCATGTTGCGGTGCTTACGCAGGATGACGTTGTTGCTGCTGTCATAGTAGAGCACAGAGGTAGCACTCAGCTTGGTGGGTGCACAGCACGCCTTGGGGACTGCATCTGGCTTCATCAGGTGCACCTGGCCAGGGAGTGAGCACAGGCAGGTACATGAGCCTGGAGGCCTCCTCCCAGGTCCCGCGTGCTGTCACCTGACCCATCTTGCAGGTCTCAGTCCCCTCGCCTCTCCCAAGGTCATTCTACACCTGCAGCCAGGGTCCCCTGTGCACATCTGCCTCGCCCACCATGCCAGGACACTGCCCAGGCAACTGGCACAGCCATCCAGGTCCCGAACACCTGCTCCTCAGCTCTCCAGGCCCCTTGGCCACCCCTTGCCACATCGACTACCCCAGATGTGGGCAACTCTGTGTGTCCCCAGGACCCCTGCACCTGGGCACCCTCTGCAGCACAAGCTCCTCTGGGGCCTCTGCTTCCCACTCATCTCTGTGCTGCAACTACATCCCCAACGGGTCCCAACATGAGCTGTGGACGGGTGGTCTCCCCTCTAGACTCAGCCAGGAGTGAGCACAGAGCCAAGGGAGAAGGCCTAAGGCTCCAGGGCCCCCTTGATGTGTTTGCTGCTTCTAACAACTCCCAGGGCAAGGATTATTCTTTGAAGATGACGAACTGAGCCACTGAGGCCCGAGGCCCATGGCGATCTCTGCATCTTCAGGCCCACGGGAAGGAGCCAGGAGGCGCCAGCAGCCCGTGATGGCCGATGGGCCCTAAGTAGCCACAACCCAGACAGGGCCTTCCCTGAGTGGGGACACCGGAGAGAGAAGTCAGGGCCCAGTTGCTGCCATTCCTTGCTCCCCCCACAGCCCTGGCTTCCCCAGATGGGCAGCGCCAAGGGAAGTGGCCTTTAATCCACCTGGTATCACAGACCAACTCCCGGGGTTCAAGGTCCCGTCCAGCCGTTCATTTGTTTGTTCCAGTGAGGATTTTTGTTTGTTTTTGTTTTGCAGTGCTGAGGATTGATCCCAGGCCTCTTCCATGTTAGGCAAGGGCTCTACCACTGAGCTGCACCCCCACGCCCCACTTGATTCATTTTTGAGTCACACATCCACATCACATCCTGTGGGAAATGAAATCGGAAGTTGTGGAGCTTGTGGATGTGCATCTTTGGGGACGATCCCATGCCTGTGGGCCACAGCTTTCTCTGCCAAAAGTAGAACCACACTTGTCTCATGTTTGGACATGAGCCAGGAGGGGAGCCCAGGACTCCCAGGGAGTGAACGGCAGCATTTCACGGACACATGCGGCAGCCCAGTAACAAAAGTAGGGCTTCCGCGCCATGCAGCAGGAGCCCTGGTGACAACCTGAACTCAAAAAGGACACCTGGGGCTGGATGTGGTGGCGCAGGCCTGTAATCCTAGTACTCAGAAGGCTGAGGTAGGAGGATGATGTGAGTTTAAGACTAATATGGGCTACATAGTGAGTACAAGGCAGTGGACTACATAGTGAGGCCCTGTCTCAAAACACCAGAAAAGAAGGGCCAGGGATTTAGCTCAGTGGTTTTGCCGCCTGCTGTGCAAGTGCAAAGATCTGAGTTCAATCCCTGGTACCAAAAAACAAAACCAGAAAAGAAAAGAAAAAAGAAACAAAAGAAAAGACACGTGGCAGGGGGGTGCTGGACAGGGTGGCTGAGGGGCTGCACATGCCAAGCCATGGGCTCAGACCTCGTCTGGAATAATTGGAAGGACACAGTTTCCTGGCCGAGAAGGATGTGTGTGGGCAGGTTCGATTGTGGTAGGAAGACCCCCTGGCTGCTGGGGGGACAGTGGCCCTGAGAGGTGGGCCTGGAGGGACCCGCTTTCTCCTCTTGGCCCTCAGGACCTCGAGGCTCCCTCCCCTTCCATATTGTGCCCCCAGCCCCAGCATCCCCCGGGGCTCCTTTTCCTGTCCAGGCTCTTGGGGCTGCTGGCTCTCCCTGATGTCTTGTCTGTCCTCAGGACCTAAGACCATCCATGAGCCACATCTCTCAAGGCTACTGAGTTTCACTCGGGACCTTTCTGTTCCACTCCACCTGCACAGGTCCCCTGGCCCACCCGACCCCACCATGTGGAGTCTGACCTACATGCCTGGGTCCCCACAGACAGCTCCTCTCTGTGGCTGCTGTCACCTCTTTCCCAGCTGACCAGGCCCCTGTTCAGGGCCCCCATCAACAAGCCAGGGCAGGATGGCTGTGGTACTGACCAGGGACTGCAGGATGGCGTGGTTGGTGGCGTTCATGCAGGAGTCCAGCGGGAAGGAGCACTCTCCCTCACAGTAGAAGGCCGAGTAGCCTTTGGGGGCGATGACCCAGTCCTGGGGGAACAGGAGAAGGTCAGTCCCGTCCGTGTGCTCCCAGAGCCCCCAGCCCAGCTCCTGTCCCGGGACGACCCCAGGCAGCCTGTACCCTCCCTGAGCCTCAGGGCCCCCAAACCCACTCTTGGCCCCTCCTGAGCAGTGTCACCCCAGGGGCCTGAATCCACCCAGCGACCCTCAGCACACAGGGCTGGGCCTGAGCTCTGTCCCCATCGGCCCCTGTCCCCTCTGCTCTCTCCTCCCCAGTCTGTCCCCTCCATCCTGCCTGCTCCACACTTTCTGGAGCTGCAGTTGCAGCAAATGCTCGGAGGTTCTGCCCACCTGGCCTCAGTTTCCCTTTTGCAGCACGAGATTTTAGTTAGCTGAGGGTTCGTGTAGTCTCCATTTTTGTGGTTTTTGTGTACATAAACCATGAAAGTGGCACAGTCTCACTTTACTCCTCCCTCATGAAGGTGACCCCGGAGACCGACCAGGTCAGTCAGGGGAGGAGTCGGACTCACCAGCCAGCCCAGGTCCTGGAAGCTGACGTAGAGCTCGTGCCGCCGGCAAACCTGTCGGCCATGGGAGCCGTGGATGTCATCTGCAGGGACAGACGGCACAGGTCTTTTCTGGGGTTCCTGCTCTGTGCAGTTACCACGAGGTGATCCCAAGGTGAGGGGCACCCTCAGGGACACATTTGTCAAGTAAAGGAGCAACAGGAAATGAAAGCCTTGGTTCTCAGGAGTCCCAGCCCTGGATCCCTGGTCCCCCAACCCCAGCTCAGCAGCCTTCAGTGGCTCCTGATTCCTACAGAG